TTTAAATTAAAAGTTTTTTTTTTCTGAATTTCTGTATGCTTTTCTGTTTTTATCTGTGCTTCTGAATTAAAATTTGACATGGTAAACAGTTCTATTTAAAGATATCCTTTTTACATATATAAGAAACTTTGTTTGTGTTGACTATTTGTCCTTGTTGTGCAGAATTTCTAATTTTTAAATTGATTGAATAAATGATTTTCTAAATTAAAAAAAAAATCACTTATTTAAATTAATTTAAGGTTGAAAAATTAGGAATTGTGCACAACAAGGACAAATAAATGGTCAACACTGAAACTGAGTTTCTGATTAAACATTGATTAATCAATCCACAAAAATTAAGCATTTAATCTAATAACCATTTACTTGTGCAAGGAAACGCGAATATCTATTGATGTATAATATTTTTGGATGTTTTTAAATTTATTTAATAAATATTCTGTAACTAGTATTACATTGAAACTCTAGTTTTTGAAAAATGAATTGAATGTATTGTAGAAAAATTATATTTCCTGTATCAAGTATAATTTCAAACTTTGTTTTTGATATTGATGTTGATTGTCTAACTTAGCTGAAATAAGATAAATCAAGGGGATGATAGACCTAGGTGCAGAATTAGGGTGCAACTATGCAGATATGAATCTAGTTGCGAATGATATAGTTCTTGCAAAGGAAAACCATACACAAGCAAGGAATTTTGCTGGTGAAAGCTAATTTCTTGCTCTTTCATATATCTGATAGGGTTTGATATTTATTGTCTTGCCTCGTGCTGAATACTGTGCAAGCACTTTAGCATGAGTAGAAGATGGCTTCTTGTATCTTTCATCTATTGCATATATAAAAATATTTTTTTCAAACTATAGATATAATATATACATATATAAATTTTGTTTTATTAACAAATTATTAGACTAAGTTCTTCATCCTTTTGCTATTTCAAGAGAGGAGGAACACTGTATTTTCATTTTCTTTGTGTTTTGTTGTTTGGATTACTTCAGAATGAAAAGTTTTTTCCCTTTGCTGGTAGTAAGCATTGTAGTTGAACCATTTTGAGTTTTACTTCTGTACAATGCAATAACTCCTGCTTTCCTGTGACGAGTTCAATGTGAACATGTGACGTCATAATCTCCATGTTACATTCTTCTGTTTGCTCACATTGATATAGTTGTACTGTACTTAATGAGAGTGCGAAATGTCATCACTTCTCGCCACCTATTTTTGCTGACTTGCACATTGCTTGGCAAATTCATTCACTCACATTTGCATAGTTGCACCCTTAGTCTGATTATTCAAGCCCAAAATAATTTATGATTTTTGAATCTGTAACATTGTCAGAAACATCAGGCTTATATTTAATGAAAAGCTCTATGCCACAGAACAGTTAACTGTAACATTATTGTTAACGAAATACAATAAAACATGTATAAACTGGAATCACAATGTACCAAAAATTTTTTCTGTTTTGACAGGTTTTAGTATTTTCTATCTTTAAACTATAATAGGTTTGTATGTAATAGAAATATCATTTTTACTTAGTTTGTTAGAGTGAAACCTAACAAACTAAAACAGAATGTGAGTAAAACACAAACCTGCCTAAATTACTGGAACGGTGTTTTGAAACAGTGCTTTTATCTATGTTAAAAAACCTGCCAAACTGGAAAAAACATCTGGTATCATGCAATTTTAGTTTACACTGGTTTTACTGTACTAGGTTTAATCCAAAGTGATCCAATCCTAAAGATGGGAGTATTTGAATGCAAGAATTGAGAACTGTTTGACTCTATAAGGTTCTACATAAGTTCTCAGGAACAATGAGGTATTAAAGTCTCTCTAAGATGCAATCCTTATGAGCTTGTGCAACAGTAAATAAACATGCTAATTTGGGTGCAAAAAATTAGCATTGTGCTCTGCCATTGGAGGTTCTAACCTTGTAGTTAGTGTTACCACCTGTCCAGTTTTCACCCGGACAGTCTGGGAATTGACTCACTGTCCGGGTGAACTATTAATTTTGTCCAGGAATTTTGTAGAAATTGTAAAATTACGATGAAAGAAAGTTCTTGCAGATATTATTACAAATTACGCTATTTTAACAATGAAAGAACTCACACTCACTGAAACTTATCTGCAATTCTGCCATGTTAGTCTATTACACTGACGTGTGGTGCACAACCTGTTGAGTTTTTTTTTCTATTTTGCATGTACTATCGTACACTTCTCCAATATCCAATAGAACTAAGTCATCTGTACCTGTTCTTTCTTAATTTAGGTTACTTAAGTTACTCCTATGCAAGTCCCTAACTGTAACTGATTTAGAACCAGCATGTACCTTCACATTTATCCTTCACATTGTAAAATGACATTGCGCATGTGTCAAGAACTTCTGTTCGAACAAACCTGACCTGCCGTCCAAGTCAGTGATTTTGAAAAGGTGGCAATACTACTAGTAGTAATAGAGACAAAGTTGTTCTGTGATCAGACAAAAAATTAACACACGTAAACTGGAAAGATATACTACACAGAACACTTAACACCTCAATACTACTTCCAGCTGTCAAAAGATTTTAATATTCTAACGTTTTCGGCCGTCTTTTAGAGGCCCTCTTCAGGATGAAACATTAAAAAACAGTTCTATCTTTTGAAGGATTCTAATAATCGAATACAGCTGTGTTCCGAACTTTTAAATATTTAAACGATGCGTAAGATATAAAAATCGTTACGCTTACAAGACAAAAAATTATTTTAAAATAACGCTATACATAAATTATTATTGTAGAGTTGTGAAAATTAGCGCTATGTAAACACTGCTATACATTAAATATTATTAAATAGTTGTGAAAATTAGCGTGATGTAAACGCTCTGATTTCTTATACATAGCAGAAAGATTAAAAATAATTAAACTTCCGATTATTGTTGTGCCTTGTGGCAATGTAAATAATATTTCCACGATTGTGGAATCGGAATATAATCGGAGTTAATGCAGCTTCCCTTTATGGTTTCTCTATAAATCTCAATAGCCTCCAACGAGCGTAAGTCGTGTCGGTCAAAGGCCCTATGTAAAAGAGTAGCCTCATCCCAACATGGGGAAACCCCGNGGGACTATTGATACACAGCAAAAACGGGTGATTGTACCTTACGAACCATCCCTTCATCGAATTTTTAGTAAAATCGCTAAGGAAGTGAATGTGCGCTTAACATATAAGAGAAAGCAGAATATTTTCCGACTTTTATCTAATGCTAAGGACAAGTCCGATGACAAAAAAGCGCCGGGGGTGTACCGTATACCTTTGAATGACGAACGTTTCAATCGTCGGATAACATACATTGGATCCACATACAGATCCCTGGAGGCTAGGATACGGGACCACAAATATGATGTGTCGAAGCAGAAGTATAATACGGCTCTAGCACGGTATGCTACCGAGCCCGGGGTTTCCCCATGTTGGGATGAGGCTACTCTTTTACATAGGGCCTTTGACCGACACGACTTACGCTCGTTGGAGGCTATTGAGATTTATAGAGAAACCATAAAGGGAAGCTGCATTAACTCCGATTATATTCCGATTCCACAATCGTGGAAATATTATTTACATTGCCACAAGGCACAACAATAATCGGAAGTTTAATTATTTTTAATCTTTCTGCTATGTATAAGAAATCAGAGCGTTTACATCACGCTAATTTTCACAACTATTTAATAATATTTAATGTATAGCAGTGTTTACATAGCGCTAATTTTCACAACTCTACAATAATAATTTATGTATAGCGTTATTTTAAAATAATTTTTTGTCTTGTAAGCGTAACGATTTTTATATCTTACGCATCGTTTAAATATTTAAAAGTTCGGAACACAGCTGTATTCGATTATTAGAATCCTTCAAAAGATAGAACTGTTTTTTAATGTTTCATCCTGAAGAGGGCCTCTAAAAGACGGCCGAAAACGTTAGAATATTAAAATCTTTTGACAGCTGGAAGTAGTATTGAGGTGTTAAGTGTTCTGTGTTGTTCTGTGATCTAACTTCTTGAGGAATTTTAATATTCTAATTAATTTATTTGAACATATTGATAATTACAGAGACTAATAAACTTGTTTTGGAATGTTTGGTTTAATTGAATAGAACTGTTTTCGAGTACTTACTCAATTTTTGAAAGTTCTTTATTCTTAAAAATATTTGATTTTTGTCTCTGGTTAATTCCAGCAAAGACTTTTTATTAAAATGTGGGTCCATCCTTGTCACATGACCTTTGTTTCCTGAAAAAGTTTGAAATATTCTCGAAATACGGTTTACACTCTGCAGTGACTGTTATATCTGGAGGCAATTTTTATTTATTTTTCTACAAGTGGAATTTTAATATTCTATTTTATTCAAATTAAGTTTCCTTTTTACCTAAAAATCTCTTCCATTTCTGCATTAGACAGGTTTCATACTTGTAGCAAAATTTAATTAACATAGAAAATAGCTCACTTTCAAAGCTCTTCTATTTTAAACTTTATATTTTTAAAATTTGATAGTAACTTTTCATTTAATGGGCTATTAACTTTACCAATTTTTCAGTTATTTGTATATTAAAAACAGGTGTTTTATCAGTTAATCTGAGACAGATTATATTCAAATGTGTTTACTTATTTAGAAGTTGTTTATACATGTCAAAAAGTTAAATTTACTTCAAATATTCTAAATGGTATATTCAATATAAATATAATTTCCAGTTGTGCATGTTTTTTTAAAGTCTTCAGTTTGATCTTTGATGTTTGACTACTGCAATTGTTAGTGATTTAGTCGTGAATCGGATACAATGAAGTCATTAACAATTTTAGCTAATAAATAACTAATTAGTCATCCTATTTAGATCTGATAGGATTATCATCTTGATCAGTTAACATGTGTCCACGTTATACAGGTTCATATCTTTTTATCTTTAGATATATGGTTTAATACTACGTTTTTATAGTATTAACCATATATTAGTATTTAGTTTTTTACAATTTACGAATTTATAGATGGCCCCAACAAATATAATCGAACATCTAAGCACAAGGAGAATGTTTATTCTCGTCCAGAACCAGCCAGAAGACCGAACCCTCAACGCAATCGGAACGCTTACGACAAGAGACCTCGTTCTAGGAGTGGGTATGCTACAGATAGAGACAGGAGTGAGGTGAGGAAACATGCATCATATTTTGCAACCGTGACATTCAAGTTGTTGTTAACGAAGTCTATTTAATGTTAAGGTAGCACAGATTGAAAAGTTTGAAGCGATTTCTGCTATCAAACAAGGAAGCAAAAAGCTTAGCCTGAATCATTTGCTGAACTTTACTATTACTCCCCCAAGAGTTGCAAATGAATATAGGTCTGGAAGTTGGCAAGGTGGTAGAAATGTAAGAAAGCAAAAATTGCCAAAGTATAACAAAGAACAGTTCCTACAGGCCAAGTATGCTTAGGTTATGATTATTTTTTTTTTATTGACATAAAACATAAATTACATATAATTCTTTCTTTTAGTTGTCAGTTTGTTGTAAAGGAGGAGGGGGATTATTCAAATCATGCAGAAGATCCAGATAAACTTGTGGATTGGGATTTAGTGGAGGAGATTGTAAGCTCTTGAATTAAAAAATGTGTATTTGTCGTCATTTCTATATATATTAAGAATTAATTTTTGTATTCTCTAAATTAGCATTTACCCAGTCATCAAGTACCTTCGTGTCCAATTTGTCTGTATCCACCTGTAGCTGCAAAAATTACTAGATGCGGCCATATCTACTGTTGGGCTTGTCTTTTACACTATTTATCGCTCAGCGATAAAACTTGGAGAAAATGCCCTATTTGTTACGAGGCTGTTTACAAAAATGATCTTAAAAGGTAAGCAAAACTTTTCAAATTTATAAAGTAACTAATTTAATTTATAATCTAATTATAGATAAGAGAGATGAAAAAACGTATTCTCAGTTAGGTCATAAAACTTCTGTAAGAAACAGTACAAAGATGTTCTTTCCTGTTGCATGTGATATGTTTTGAGAATTTGGCACAAGTGGGATTTTTCTCATGCAAATTATCGTTTTTTACGTAATGTTGAAAGGGTACCTCTCATTTCTGGCACTTCAGTAGCATGCACATGATCCTTGACATGTCTATAAAGAAAACAGTTCAGAGATATGTCAGTTGATTGGTTGCACCAAGAAATGCAGGCCATGGGAATCTAGACCATGCAGCTGTGTAGGTCTAGATTGTCACTGTGCAACCCTTTCAAGTGTATGAACATGAGATTGAGTATTGATCAACATTCTTCAACACATATCTGAACAAGTGGATTTTACATAACAGTTTAAAACTAAGAGAACACACTATATTGTAATTATTAAATAAAAATGTTTAATTGGTGATTTTCATTAAACTGAGTTGGTATATTATCTGATTTTTACTTTTCTACAATTTATTAAAATTAAACAAGTATTGTTAGAGAATTTAAAACATGGGGTATATATACAATAGAATGTTTGTTCTAATTTTATGCAGATTAAAATTACTACTGGATTATCAGTTTTGAGAGAGGCAAATTTAGTAAATTACTTTCTTCTGTCGTATTCATTCAGTGGTATTTTCAAAATTGATTTTAACTTTTTATACTATTTTTATGATGTTTAAAGTTGGCTCCACGCATTCAGCATTTGCCGAATATCGAGTAGTGTGGATGATTTACTCGACTAATATTCGGTATTTCCCATTCCTTGTTGGGTCCCATTGATTGTGCGTAATCAGAAACCAACTTTGCGTTGAATTTTCATCGATGTTAAGCCTAACAAATTTTTTTTAAATAATAATCGTCGCTATTGTATCGTTAAAAAATTATTTTTAAATTATTTTATTGCCCACAAAACAACCAACCACTCATAATTAGAAAATTAAGTCTCGTTTAAATACTGGCCTCCCTTCTATGGTCGAGCCGATGTTGCCAGCTAAAACACGCAAAAATTTAACAAAAATAATATTAAAGTAGCCAAGACATAGCCAAATATTGTAGTGCCACATCACTAGCGGACATTTGAAATTTGCCTACTAGAATGGTCGGTTAACCGATGTGACGGTTAATCGGGGGTCGGATAATCGATGCTCTACTGTATTTAAATTATAAGCATTGAAATTCAAATATTTATCTACAGTTCCACAAAAAATTTTGTATCAATTTTTAGATATGTTAACCTAAAATTAATTTGCAAAATTTTTTTCAAAAAATTAAATTTTCTTTTTGAGTATATTCTTATCCATAATTATGTGAACAAACTATAAATTCTACATTCAAGCTTTTCAGAATTTTCTGAACTTTTGTTTGTTAGAAAATACTTGGGCATGAGAAATCGCTTGGCTTTCAACAGGAATTGCATTGCATTAGTCTTTTGGTCAACGTTGTGACTGGCTTTGATCACTTTCATAAGCATCTGTACTAACCGAAACTTTCCTCCTCAGCCTCTTGTCATTTATGTAGATCTACCGAGGAGACTCATCTACATCTAGTTTGTGGAGTACAGATCTTTGATCAGGCAGACACATTCGTCCAGGTTCCACTTTGTTGAGCCCTTGTGAGTCTCTTGGCTTTCTTTTGGAAGGCTGCTATTTTTAACAAGATGGGACTTCTAAAGTAATCTCTTGCAGGATGCACAATAGACCTTATAGATCAAAGTACAGTACATTTAGCCTATTGGCTTCCCTTCCTGCTTGCATAATAACAATGAATAATAACATTTGAAAATATTTGTTTAAATATTAGCATAAACTAGTGTTTGTATTAAGATCAGTATGAAAAAAATTATTCAAATAATGTATTCTTTATCTAATTTTATAAATAAACAATTTCTTAAAACTGTCGTTTAAGACATATCATAAATTGACAAATAGTAAATAAACTGATCAAACAAACAAATCATTAGAAATTTTGAACTTCCAAATGGAACAAATCTAAATTCACAAATATTAAATATCAGTACTTCTAAAACTTCTATCTAAAGTATCTAAAACTTCAATATGTAATTTCAAATATTCAAATCTATGAATATTTATTTTAAAATGTATTCAATTATTTATAACTTGGAATGTTATTTGCTTTATTATTATGGTGGATTGATCTTACTTGGCTTATATACCAGTGCTTAATACTATTCCAGACCAGGATCAAGATGTAATTACAGCTGATTGTTCATGTATCTGTGTTTAACAATTTCTTAACAACATAGTACATTTAGTATGGCAGAAAACTGCCATGCTAAACATTAAAAATTATGACAGGAAAATAATAAATTTTTGTCTAAATTTTAACTGTTACCATTTTAAAGAATTTTTGTGAATTTTTGCTTAATTTTGTGTTTAAATTTTATTTTTGATTTTATAAAATATCAATTTATTATACTTCAATTAAAATTCAATAGTGTTGTATCAACATCTAAAACAACTTACTCTGTCGGAGACAACATCACTATGTGTCTTATGAAGCGTAAACGTGGATCCGTCATTTCTAAGCCTGCCAATCGGTTCTCGATATCAGAAAATCCAATTTCTCTCAACGATGGTAAGTGTGCACTTTTAGTACATATGAAATTTATTATCAGCTTTTAAATTGTTAACGTAGTAGTAATTTTTTCATAAAGAAGCGAGCTGTTTCCAAAAATTACTTACTGTGTCAAGAGGCGATGTTGAAAAGATTATAAATAGAGAATTTAACGAACTGAGGACTCAGTTGTTAAAGGATAAAGATGTCCCGGAAGCATGTTTTCTGGAATCTGCACTTGAGGTAATATTCATTATTTAAATTTTAAAAAATCACGTAAGAGTGATAATTTTGTTTTATAAAACTAATATATTTTATTGTGTGTGATTTGCACTTAAGTTACTGGATGAAAGGAAGCAATCGGTGATGTATACTGAGGTGATTGAAAAGGACGTGTTTGAATATCTTACATTGGATGATAAATCTGAAACTTTATCAAATACATTAAATTACAATTTTCAAGTTGATAATCATCAGGTATGCTTACAAGCTTTCTAACTTCTTTGTATTGATTACTTAGATGTTTCAAATTGGAATCAGTATGTACCAAATCAAGTTGAAACTATACGTAATGTCGTTTTCATTTTTGCAACATGAAGATAGTCTAGAAAAAGCATTCTGGTTTTAAGAAATATCATTTGTGAAAAATCAGTTGCATTTCATAATATTTCATATTAAATATTTTCAAGATTTTTATAAATTTTTATTATTTCAGTTAGGAATATATCAGCGAATTAAGTAGCTTGACACTTAATTTATGAGCTTTTTAATTTATTGGTGTAATTTTGGTAGTTTGTCTGTATAAGAAAATGAACATGAACCAAACTTGTCTATAATGGAACCCCAAGGAACTAAATGGCTCCTCCATAGTAGATTGGTGTCCACTACATATAGGTATCCCTTATTTAATGCAATTTAATAAATTTCTTGATGTAACTGTGTATATCAAAATTGCATTAATCAAATACAGTTGTACCTCAGTACTCGACTGAACAATCACCACCCACTAGAACAAACTTTTGGTGAATAACAAATATTTTTATTTTAACTTTAAGTTTTCATTCATCTGTAAAAAAAATTCTCTAATATAAAAATGAGTAACCAGTTTAAAAATAAAATAAAAGCTTACGGCTGCATACTTTCATTCAACAAAATTATACTCAATTCAGTTGTTTTTTCATAAGTGAAAGAAACAAACTGCATGTGGAACACAATGATCAGCATGATTTACAGCCATTTCAAGTGGATGTAATGTTTCAACAATGTGTGTATGCAACATACTAAGATTTGTTGCAAATTTACATGTTGTTGTTCATCAATCTTTAACAATTTCTTCCCACAATTTCTCTTCAACAGCTTGTATGTTTTGTATCCTTTAGTTCAAAATTTCCCAAACGAAACTTTCAAAACCACTGACACATTTAGAGTTCAGAAGCTTCTTCCTCATACACGGTACAAGTATTTTTTACTATTTGTATAGCATGATATCCTTCATGAAACTTAAAAAGCATCCATAATATTCCCGATGTGCATTTTACCTGCAGACATTTTGACTTGATTTTATTCAAACAAAATGTGGTGTAAAAAATTTAAAATAAGCTTCAAAAACAAAGAATACAATTTCACATCAGAAATAATGTGTTGTAATTATAAGTTGTGAAATTTAACACCTATTTATGTTAATAAAAGTATCTAAAAACTTTGTTGAAATCTCAATAAAATTACTGTAATACAGTAGTTATATTTTGCTATTCTGTTTGCATGTGTAATTTTTTACTTTTTTATGATTTATATAATACGTGCTAGGCTTGTAATCTTGTTAAATTTGTGTTAAATTGATAAAGATACCGATTTTTCTGTATACGGCCCAAATTTCCTTTTTGTTTCCGCATTGGACAGGTTCCATTATAGACAGGTCTGACTGTATAAATCTCTAAAATTAATAGAATCATTGAAATAATTGTTTGCTTTAAATTCTTGAAAAAATAGCAGAAAATTTCATTAATAATCATTTATTTTCAAAATGTAATATTCTATCAAAAAAGGAGGTACAAGAAATAAAAACATTTCTAAAAATGCTTTTCAGCCATAAAACTTCTGATTTAAGTTTCAATGAATATTGAATCTTTCTTTTTTCTTTTTATAAGAATAATAATCTCAGAAAAGTTGGCATAATAATGTTCTCAGTAAAAAATATAACTTGTTATTTTGATTTGTAATAAAAAACTCTATGCTTAATATCCAACATCAGTAATCCTGTATTCAGTATTTAAATTTTTCAAAACTATGTCATTAAATTGAAAAAAGATAAAGTAAAACTAGTTTCGTTAGTTAATTTAACAAAGTAATAAACCTTTTAACAGTGAGTAAAGCTGGAGAAACACTAACATTTTTGATGGACCATCTTTGCATTTGAAGATTGCCCTTTAACAGGACTGAAAATGTATTTTTCTAACCGTACTCTGTTGTTAAAGGAAAACTAAAAATTAAGCAAAGTTTGATCTACTGAATATCAAGTATTTATTGCAAGTAGACCATGTGGCACTTTATGCATTGACAAGACATTTTCAACACAACAGTATAATATATTCTTGTCTATAGTCATTGAAAAATAGATATGAGAGTTGGAAATAGAGCTTATAATACTGTTTTAGAAATTTAACTAAAAAAAAAAATTCCATTATAACTGTTTGTTCTCTTCAAATTTTTTCTTTTAATATACTGTTATGAGTCAATCTGATTACTGTATTATCATACTAAGACCTAAAATATTGACTAATAAGTAATTATCATCAAATTACATATTTCTGAACAATAAATATAGTTTAGATAAATCTATTAAAATTCACACCAAAGGTGTTAAGGAGCGTTTTAAAGAACATTTTATTTCCAGCTAGTGCTTCCGATGTATATATGAATGTCGTCCTCAGGCAGTAATTAAAAATGAACAGATTTTGAACTGGTTTTAATTTAAATAATAACAGTATTGGCCGTTTGGAACATAAAATAACATTTTTTTAAACTTACTTACTTATTAATTTGAAATGTGTAACATCATGCATGTGTCTTAACACACACAGAATTCGGTAAAAGCATTGATTGTTTGGAACAACAACCATAAGAATAAGTAAAATTAAACATTAACTTGAAACACGTGTAACATTGACATACATGTGTCTTAACTCACAGTGAAGATTGGGGTAGATGCAGAACTAATGTTGATGTTTTTTAAATGTTTGTACAAACTAATCCAAACCTTGGGAAATTTGAGGATGGGGGCGTTGCAACATTCTTTTGATGTGGCAGGGCACGGAGGACTCTTTCCTGGCATTAGAACAATATCTTGCCAGTGTATACTCATTCATCAATTTCACCTTAAAAAAAGAAATTGGGGGAAAATCACCCTTTTAGACCTGCGCATCTCCAAACCCCAGGGAAATTTGGTGTTCTCTGTCTTCCACAAGTTTGGTAATATTCTCCCATAATACCCATCGTGGCCTACCAGCCACAACAGTATGTTAACACAGTCATAGCCCCCGTAATCAGGTCCTTTTTAGTACCTTTCACACAATACCTTATCAACATTGACTAGAGACCATGCACACTGCTGTGTGGGTTGTATTTGGCAGTCCCTCTTCTCTGCTACTACTTTGCTCTGGCCAAGGGACTGGACGGTACTCCATCCTTCCCTCCCATTTTGTGGCCTCCTGACTGCCCAGATTTGCTGGATATTTAGGCAAAATGCATTTCTCTAACCCATAGTCCCATGCCCAAGTTTGACAAGACTTGTGTAATGACAGGGATGCGGTTTCCATCCTGGAAAAATCAGGTGTATATTCCATTCCCTTACAAAACACAATATCAGGACTATACACCTGCTATATAGGCGCAACCACCAGAATGCTGGCCAACCGCCTATCTGACCACTTAACATTTTGTCACGGTGGGAAATTGTGATACCGAACTATTCAAGTTGGTAGTGCAGCACCATCACACGCCACTTTGGAACCAGGTGATGCTACTCAGGCATTGAGGAAGGGGACCTTGAGTGGGCCCTCCTCACCACGCTGTTCTCTCCTTGCAACTCCACCACCTTCGAATTGCCCGAGGTTTAGATTAGTTTGTACAAGCATTTAAAAAACATCAACATTAGTTCTGAATATACCCCACCTTCACTGTGAGTTAAGGCGCATGTGCAGCGATGTTGTGTGTGTTTCAAGTTAATGTTTAATTTTACTTGTTCTTATGGCTGTTGTTCCAAATGAATAATGCATTTACCCGCATTCTATGTGTGTTAAGGTGCATACGTGTCGAATTTTACGCATTTCAAATGTTTTAAACTTACTTATTCCTAATGTTATGTTCCAAATAGCCAATGCCGTTATTGTTTAAATTAAAATCCCATTTGAAATCTGTTTGTTTTTAATTACTGCCTGAGGATGACGTTCATATCTACGTCGAAAGTGCTAGCCAGAAATAAAATGCTCCTTAATGCCTTTTGGTGTGAATTTTCACTTGAGTTAGAACAATTGTTGGCGTGACATCCACAGTTTGTATATAAATCCATTATTTTTAAGTCATTCTAAATAATCATTTCCTGTTTTACTCTGTTATAATTAACACAATAGTAGTGTTGGTTAGTTCATTATCAAAATGTTCAACTGATTAATACGATTGTAATGGTTTTGGTATTTAAGGATAATAAAATGACTCCAAATACTGTATTTAATTATACATTAAAGAGAATAATTTCCTCAAAGAATAATTCTAAATTTAGACTATTTTAACATGTTTTCATCCTCTATAAAATATCTTGCTTTATCATTATCTGTCTACAGTTAAGGATCCCATAAAATCAGGAATAAATTTTCAGTTTCAATTAAAATGGCAGACTGTATTTTTACATTTAAAAAAATGTAAAGAAACTAAAGTCTTCATACTTCCATGTTTTACTGAAACTATGTTTTTTTTTTTTTTTTAATTATTGGCTCATCACAAAAGGATATTTTTAACTGTTTTACATAATTTTAGAGATGCAGCATCTAATAAAAGATTGTGTCTGTATAGGAATACTCTATTCCTGGTGATCTGATATGAAGTGTGAAGACGTTTTAGTTTCTTCTATATATTTTTACATTTTGTTGAACATTTTTAAAGTTATCCAACTCGTATCTATAAACCTTTTTACCGGTGCACGTATCATCACACTCTACAACAGTTACAAACGTTTTCGAACCGTTACGGTTCTTCTTCAGGTAACGATCCCTAACTTAAAGAATTGTATTTGTTCTATAAATTAGAAACAGAAATGGTTTAATTTTAAATATTCATGTATATTTACTCAAAAGACACATTTGAAGATCAAATTTTTCTTCCTTATATTTAAGAATTTATTTTTGTAGATTGAAACTATGATGGATCCTTTTGGTGATGAAGAACATGAAGATAATTATTATTCACGATCTGAAAATGCTAACAAATATTGTGAGTGAATGAGTTTCTCAAAATGATAAAAACTTTCCGTAATGTAATATCTAAGTTTATTTCGACAGCTTCAGCTTTAAATGAAGAACAGACAAGCAGCTCCGTTGACGAAAACGTAACTTCAGATATAAATTTTTCAGAAACTTCTGCAATACCTTCAAGTTCCCCCAAAAATAATTTGCAAAAACAAGTAAAAAACCAAGGAAAAGATTATTATTATTTTTATCAGGGTAACTATCTTAAACTTGTATCAACTTTGGTTTTGGATGAATTAAATGTTTACAAATATTTAAATGTTATTCAAATAACAGCAATCGACGGCCAACATATTTATTTAAATGCTCTTAACGTACAAATGCTCGTAC